TTCAACTAAGCAACAAGTATTATTTCAACTGTATAACATATTATCTATAAATCTTAACATCGTAATATTTTATTTACATATACAACAATTAAACTACTTATCATCTTTTTATCGGTCTGATATAGCCATTATCCAAGTATATCTGATCATTCGAAAATTTAAACAAAGTGTAATAATTTAATATAGTTCGGCAGCATCTCGGTGGATCACGGAAACAAGATAGATTTTTGTAATCTATCTTGTCACAACAATCTGCTTTCTCACCAAATAAATATAACGTATTGACATGCATATTTGAACTTGTATGAAGTCATCACTGAGCAGGGAGTATATGTGGGAATCAAAGAGGCCAGGAGTTTGGAAGAATACAACTTTTTATTATGACTTTTTGTATAGTTTTGATAATGATATAATTTAATGTGAGTTGAGCTTGGGCGGCCGAACGGTTTACATCGGAGTGTTTACATTTAAATACTACGGTATGAATTCATGCTAATAGTTTTGTTATCAATGCATTCAATACATTATCAAGTAAACAGGTACAATAAATTGCGTAACATGTTCTCTTCGGAGGGGACATAGTGTCGCATTCATATATTTGAAACAGTGTTTACAATTGCGTAGTGCATACATTTCCTAAAATAATGGTTAAATCAACTAGTGTTACAAAAATTTTTCGTATTGTGAAATCATTAAAGATTTTAGATGACGATTTAACTATAAATTCTAGATTCGTCAAAAGGGATATATTGCCTAAAATCCGCAAACACATTCAACAGCGCATTCAAAAGATTAACGACGTCGAAATGTCAAATGAAAACAATGAATCAATTGATAGTAACCAATCTATACCAAATCAAATGATTTGAAGCCTGTACCAGTGCTAAAATTAATAGTGATTGGACTGTAGTAAACAATAAAAAACACAACCAGATCGACACAGAAACACCGTCATGTTTCAAGTGGTACGAAAAGACTACTGGCTCAAAGCTATTACTCCAACCAGCAATTGCTACGCAGTTTTAGAAAAAATACATCCGATCAAAATTTACCATGTCAAAACATACAAGTACAAAATAAAATTCCAATAAAACCTCCGCCTATTTTTGTACACAAAGTGGGGGATATTGAGCCATTGATTGAACTAAAAGAAAATTGAACTTAAATAAAGCGAAGCCAAGCAACAATACACACTAAAAACTATAGGAACAACACAAGTGAAAATAAATCTCGAAAGTGCAGAAACTTATAATAATATTTTAAACAAACTGAAAGAAAAAGGAACACAGATGCATTCGTATCAAGATAAGTCAAAACGGACATTTAAAGTCGTGGTTAAAAACCTACACTATAGCACCGACTTAGACATGCTGATAAATGAAATAGAAGAACTGGGGCACCAAGTTGTACACATCTCTCTTCTAAGAAGCAGATATACAAAATTCCCACTGAATATTATCTCGGTAGAACTGGAGCACAAAGAAAACTAGTGGGGTGCATGGCATCGTGCCTTACGGAAAATTGCTGGAACTTCCCGTACCGTAACAAAATGTTCGAGGAATATTAAATATTTTTTAAAGTTGAAATTATTTGTTTAAAGTATATTAGAACTAGAGTCCAAATTAAAAAAAAATTGTAAAAATAAATTTTGGAACAAATTTTTTTTTCCAGAAGCAATTATTCTGTTGAAACAAGCAGAAAGTTTTTTGAATCATTCAAATCGTACGCTTATTTCTCTCAAAAACTGCCACTTCTTATACATTTACCACTGTATCTTCGAAATGACTGAACCTGCCTCTGTCAAAAAATAATCACCTCTTCTCGCAATCATTACAAATTGAATGTTTTTTAGATCATTCAAATCGGATGCTCCGTTCTCTTAAAAACTCGATTTGTATTTTCTGCACTCTTTGCGTCGTATCTCCGTAATGGCTGGACCTGCCTTTGCAAAAAACTAATCAGCACATCTTCCTATCAATAGGAATCAATGTTTTTTGAACCATTCAAATCGGTTGATCAAAACACACACACACATCCATTTTTCTGAGGTATGCCAAAATGTTCAGAAACCTTCAAAACGTCGAGAAATGCAAAAAAAATTTATTTTCGATTTTCGGCCCATTACTATAACTACCCTACGGGAAGTTAATGGATATTTTTACAAAATTGAATTTTTATGTAAAACCAAAGTTGAAATTCAAGTTAAAGGACATTCTCGCGAAATAGTCCAGTGCACACGATGTCAAAGGTTAGGACATACAAGAAATTTTTGCTACAGAACACCCCGCTGCGTAAAATGCGCTCAGCAACATCTAACTGAAAAATGCTCATAGACAGACAAAATAAATAGCGGAGTAGCAAGTGTTCCCTGCAATGGAAATCATCCGGCCTATTACAAAGGCTGTGGGGTATATAAAGAACAGCTCGAAAAGAAATATCCAGCTTCTCGGGAAAGGCAATTCACTTCCAATAGATAATCTATCAGTAACACAACAGTAACTGGAGTTTTGTACTCAAGGGTGGCTCGTGGAAATACACGACACGACAGAGACAACAGAAGAGTTTATTGCAAAGAACACGGACAACAATAATAACGACTTATCTGAACTCTGAAATCTTAACTGAATGATCAAGACACTGACCGACACTGCTCAATTTACTCACAACAATTTTAAACAGGAAGATTTAATGACAGGCCATTTAAGAATATGTTTATGGAACGTCAATGGCCTGTGTCAGCATATACAGGAGGTTAAATATTTTTTGATAAACAATAACATCGACATTATGCTTATATCTGATAAAAAGTACTTTCGTATTACTAATTACCAAACGTACAACACAAATCATCCGGATGGAACAGCGCATGGTGGAACAGCCATAATTATTAAAAACAAGGTCAGACATACTGTTAAAGAATCGTTTTCCACCAATTACATGCAAGCAACAAATATTGCTTTTGACACATTGCCGCAAACCATCATTTTTTCAGCAATATATTGCCCCTCTTGACCTTAAATCTGTCAGCAACAGTTCTTGAAATTTTTTCAATTCATTGGCAATTTTTTCATCTCTGGAAGAGATTATAATGCAAAAAACACATGCTGGGGATCAAGACTAACTACTTCCAGAGGACGCGAGCTCCACAAAGCAATGAACCTGCTAAACCTGAATGCAATATCCACAGGCAAACCCACATATTGGCCCAGTGACTTATGCAAATTACCAGACTTGCTTGACTTTTTTATAACCAAATATATCCAAGAAAGCTCCATAAAGCTTCTTATTCTCAATCAAAACTTTTTCGGATATCTAAAAATTTCTGTATGTTTAATATTGCTTGCAATAATATGTTTAAATTTTCATTTAATTCTAACGCACATGTAATATTAATATATGGGTTTTGAAACATTTTACTTATTTATTTTGGAGATTTGATGCGATTTATTCTATTAAGAAAATCATAAAGAACAAAAAAAAATCTTGCCTCTCATTATTAAATATAACACTGGTACTTTACGTTGGATTGTTTTAATTAATTTTTCATTATTTAAAATATCTAAAGTTTCATCGTAAACTTCTCCTAATTGATATAGTAATGGCCGAAATGTATATATTCATCTATACAAAAAAAATTTAAAAATATTGTCCAAGATTAGTAAAGGATGCAAATTTTAATGATATTGTAAAACTTTATTATAAATTCCACATCTGAATCTTGTTTTAGCGCTCCCTAAGCTTGCGCTCGCATTTTTTGCATGCATCGCTTTCAAGGTAGAACCGGCCCTGTTTATACATGTACATATATATCCTTGTGAATATGCATATACTTGCATATGTGTAACTTTGTGTACATATGCATATATGTATTCATGTGAATGTGTAGGCATATAAATGCATTCATTTATATATATATTATATATATATATATATATATATATTCTTTTTTATCTGTTTAATATTTAGTTTCTACCTTTACTACCTTTACTATTATTTTTTATCTTTTTGTTGTTAAGTGTTGCGGTTCTGTTAATTTTTCTCTTATATTTATAGTTTCTATACCAATCCGTAAATCTTATAATTACCGGGTTATATTAATTTTTACACTGTTTTTATATACACTGATGATGACATTAAATTGAATGTCGAAACGTTTGGAATTAATTTATAAATCCTTGTTTTTTATTCTTTAATGTATCGCCATAAAAGAACTTACTCATATATTTCAACACACACACACACACATATATATATATATATATATATATATATATATATACATACACAAAATCACACAGTGGTCTTATTTATTTTAATAATGTTTTCGCGTCTGTATAACGTGACGAAAGCAATAATCACAATCCTGTCAGATGTTTTAGCGTCATTGGCTTCAAACGTTTGTCGCGCATACAAAAATTTATTATGAGGGCGGTTTTATCATGTTTTTTCAAACGATTAGTAATAAACTTTTGGTGAACTATATGGACAAAATGGTTTTTGTAAGTAGTTGAATTAGTTTTTGAACATGTTATAATAGTTCCCACTTAATTAGACTATGTTACTGGTAGTCAATGATTCTAAGACGAGTAAAAACGATTGAGACTGATTATAATATAATTGAATAAATAAATATTATTGAATAACGAAGCACCATGTATTTTTTCCCGTACATGCTCTACTGTTATTTAAATAATCAGTATACATTGTGTTTTAAATAATTTTATTATTTTTGATCGTACATATTACATTCTTAAATGTGAATATTACTGTTTTAGATTCTATTTCTTCTATTGCACTTCTTTTACATTATCAATCATTCTTACTATTAATATGATACAGAATTAAGTCTATTTGTAACCTTGCATACATTCAGTACATATTCCATTTTTAATAATAGATATTATTTTCTAATCAGTTTTATATCATAATTACAATTAGTGTCGTCATTTTAAATCTGTTTAATTTCATATTATTAAAATAATGCTAATAATTCGTTACAGATCATATGCAATCACTATGTAAAAATCACTTTTTGCAACAACTATATCGGAAAATAGATGGCGCTGTTCTTTTATCTCAAAATGAACGCAATTTAGATTGCGTAATAACATTCCAAACACACTCTGTGTTGCAACGATTTATGCTAAGATTTGATATTCTACAACTTGACTGTAATGACCATTTATATATATACGATGGAGCACATGCTGGAGGTTTGCATAAGGTAAGGTGATTAATAATATTTTCTGACTGCGATTACCTAAATCTTTTAAGCTATATATTTGACCCAAATCGCTGGAACCGTGATTTATTCAAACGGAGCATATTTGATTCGATGATAATTGCCCATACAAAAAATATACTTAATTTAAGAATGGATACTAATATATTACATGATTAATGCCTAATTTTTTTAAATATGTAATTATCAACAAAATTTGAATATTAACTTTAATTATTATATGTCTTACGAGATGTTGATTTTTGATACTAGTACCATCTTATATCTTGTTTAAAAAATATTCATATTTTACTGAAAATGAGATGGATATAAATCTTGGATTTATTGAATGAAATTGTAATAATTTGTAATATTGTAAAGATGAAATTGTATATAAGTTAAATCAAAACCCCATTGGAATAATAGAAAAGTAAGCAAAAAAGAATATAGACTAAGAACAATAAACAAGACGTAAATTAATATTGAATTAGAAGATGGACATACATATAAAAAATACAAAAATTTGAGGGAATAATGAATGAGAATGGAATCCAAATGAAGTTCCAAATAAAAAAGTAATAAGGAAAAAAAATTAAATGAGTGCTAGGCACTGATCAAGAATTGTTAAAATCGAACAAGGTTATAAACTGATAAACATGTATTTTTTAAGAAGCAAGATCACTAAATAACCCATACATATATTCTGTAACAAATTTGAAAAGAAAAAAACAATAGCAGAAACTTCTGAAACGTTCAGTTTGAAACGAGGGTTGAAATTGAAGTAAAACGCTTCAGGCGAGATTATGGCGAAGTGTTTATACCGTCAGCGACATGCATACAAAATTACTTTGTAAACACTACACTGCGTAAAATTAATACAGAAACATTTTTCTAATGAGTATCCTTCGACAGAAAAAATAAAAGAAATCAACATGTGCTCTTTTGATCTTAGAATGACTCTACTAAATACACGGGATGCTCGGGATTCGCCAGCAGACCATGAAAATACCCCTCTAGCGTATGATGATCCAAACAACTGCAACCCGACAAAAATAACATTGATACTTTTCAAATAAGTGCTAATAACTCATAGCTAACTGATGAGTACCAAGCTTTATATTTTACCGACACTCATATAAAAAATCTAAAAATTAAATATTATTAATTATATTCCACTGATCATAAATTATGCTGGTAGCTCGCGACATCATACTAAAGGGGTGTGTCATTTGTAACATACCAGGATGCGTTCACAATGCATCTTAAAATTTTTGATTGCGCTACTTGTATTCTTTTATATTTGAATTGCTTGCGCACGCCCATAGCTCAATGCCGTATGTCCAGATTGGGATAATTATTGTTTTATATAAAAGGAGTTTGTTTTCATAGCACATATTTGAACTCCTGCCAATTAGCCAATACAACTCTTTGAACTTTTTCTCCATCTGTTTTCTTTTCATTTTGATGTGCGTTGACCAGCTTAACTTTCTATCGAGATGAATCCCAAGGTATTTTACACTCTCATATTTCGGTATTTCTATGTTGTTTATTTTTACGCTTGGGCAGTCCAGGGTTTTTGTTGTGAAGGTTATATGGCTAGATTTTGTTTCATTTATTTTAATCTTACACTTATTGAGCCACTTTTCAATTTCAGAGACATATTGTTGAACTTTTGACGTTGCGACGGATGCATTTGTATGAGTTCCCATGACAACTGTATCATCGGCAAAAGTTCCAATTATGACATTGCTATCAGTTGGAATGTCGTGTGTATATATGAGGTATAATATTGGCCCTAAAACACTCCCTTGTGGAACCCCCGACTTGATGTTAAATAATTCTGAAGTTTCTGTTCCAACTCTAGTTCTGAATAATCTGTTTGTTAAGTAACTTTTCAATAGTGAAAATATCTTGTGCGGCAAACAATTTTTTATTTTGATGAGTAGGCCCTCGTGCCATACTTTATCAAATGCCTGTTTGATATCGATAAAGATTGCTGAACAATATTCCTTTCTCTCTATTGCCTTTTGGATGTTATTTACTATCCTATGGCATTGTTGTATTGTGGAGTGCTAGGTTCTAAACCCGAATTGATGATCAGGTATTATATTTAAATACTCTTTTATTCTTACTAATATTAGTTTTTCCAACAATTTTGATAGAATTGGCAGTAAACTGATTGGTCTGTAAGATGTGACAGCTGGTTTTCCTGGTTTTAAAATCATTATAACCTCTGAAATTTTAAAACATTTTGGCCAATATCCCAACCTAAATATTGCATTATAAATATATGTCAGCAGAACAATTGCTTTTCTTGACAATTCTTTCAAGACCCTTCCTTTTATGTTATCTATCCCTGCACTCTTCTTATTGTTTATATGTTTAATAAACCCTTTTATTTCTTTTGGTGTTACTTTTTTATAATTGTAGAATCATCATGCATTGCTTTTGCCTTACATCGTTGTCAATAACGTCATCATTTGGAGTGAACACATCTGATAAATAAATTGCAAACAAATTTGCCTTTTCTTTGTCACTTTTGGCCCATTCGCCTAATGATGGTGATTCCATTCTTATTGGGGCGTTAAAGTGGATATGTTTCTTCAAAGATTTTATAGGTTTCCATATCGAATAATCGTATCTATTAAGATTAGTAATGAATTCCGCCACACTGTTGTTCCGCATGGCTTTCAACTTTTGTTTTAGTTCATTCGATAAATTGTTGAATACAGTTTTATCGCTTGGATTACGTGATCTTTGCCATATTTTCCTTGCTCGTCTTTTTTTCCTTATTAATATTTTAATTTCCATTGGGATATTAGACGTTGTATTGTTATATGTTATATGTGGAGTTGCATTTTGTACAGATTTTTTCAGTGTATTTATATAAAAATTTAAGTTATTCTCTATGTCTGCTTCAGATTTCAATCTGACTTTAAGGTGTAATTTAGAATAAATTTCTTGTCTAAAAGAGTTCCAGTTTTTTTACTATTAAAAAGACCATTAATTTCTTTCACTCTTATTACTGTGGTGCTAATTGTTGCTATAATAGGTGTATGATCTGATGATAAATCTGAATTATCTCTTATGTTTGTGTATAAATCAGAAATTCCATTTATTATATAAAAATCTAGAAGGTCAGGGCGTTTGTTTCTATCCGTAGGCCAGTAAGTAGGTTTTCCAGTCGATAAGAATGAATAATTTTTGTTTAACAGCATTTGTGCCAACTGCTTACCTTTAGGAGTGGTAAGTCTAGAGCCCCATAATGTATTTTTGCTGTTAAAATCACCACCCATTACAAATCTGTGTCCTAATGTATCAAAGAATTTTTCATAATCATCTATTTTCATCCTGTGACGTGGAGGACAATATACAGAAGAGACAATGATATCATAAGGAAATGTATTAATGCAAATTGTAGATGCTTGTAAGTAATTTTCTTGAAAATTTGTTAGTGTGTAGTGTGAAACACTGTTTTTAATCAATATTCCAGATTCAGCGTGTGCAGTATTGTCTGGGTGATTAGTATTATAAAAAGAATAGAAAGGAATCTTGAAATGTAGATTATTTGTTAAATGCGTTTTACTGATTAGCATCATATCAATCATATGTTGTTGTAAAAATATTATTAATTCACTTTTATGGTTTAGAACACCATTTGCATTCCATTGAGCAATCCGAAGAAACTTGGCCATTAATTTTTAACTAATTTGGATAACATGTTCATGACTAACCTGTTTTGCTCCATTAGTTGTTTGAACATATCTTTAAAATCATTAATTAATGTGATAAGAGCAATGGTTACCTGTGACTGTTCGTTTTTATATTTCGTTGTAACTTTAATACTTCTGAATAGCTTCTATGGTCACTGTAAGAATTAGCTAATGGACGTCTGGTTTCTTCTGTTTTTGATGTTTTAACTCTATCCGTGGTTCGTCTTCCTTTTTGAAAGTTGTAATTATGTTGTTTGTAATAATCCTTGTGAAAATGACAACCTTTGTAGTATTCCGGATGAGCACCACCACATAGAATGCATGTTGCTGGAGTAGATCTTTCATTCTTACATACTGAAGTATTATGAGGTCCACCGCATTTAACGCAGGCAAATGTCTGTTGCAATAATTTTTAGAATGTCCATACATTTGACATTTTGTACATTGAATAACACCTTGCTTTTACGTGGCGGTTCCACCACAATCATATGATTAAGCAATTTTTTTAGTTTATATGTTTCGCCATTGTTTTCTGCAGATTCTAAATCAACAAAAAACATGTTTAAGGGCAATTTGGTTTTGTGTTGTTTCACATTAATTATACACCTTACTTTAAAATTAAGTTTCTTTAATTAATTTTTTATTTCATTGGTGTCATATGTATGGTGTATATTTTTTATCACAACTCTAGAAGACCGTTCCTGGTTTATCTGATAAGTGTGATATACTACATTTTTCATTTAAAAAAAAACTTGATTACTGCCCTGTATTGGTCATGTAAATTAGTGTTTATTCTAATTATATCATTCGGCATAGATTTAAGTATATAATCATTTTCATCCATGATTTTATTTAAATCACTTCTCATATCCGGGAAGTCTGTAATGCCGTACACAAATATTGGTGGGGGTCTTTGTATTTTAGTCGTGGACGTTGTGATGTTTTTATCCGTTTGATTAACGGTATTGGAATTTGATGTTTCAGTTGTCAAATTTAATATGTCAAATCTATTTGAAACTTTTATTGAATTTTCAAGTGAATTGTTTGATGATGTGCGCCTACGCTTAAAAGTTTTACTTGAATTTACTACTTGCCATGAGACAGACGGCATGGGCGTTGCTCCGGTATCTTCAGTATTAATATTCATCTTATAATGTTTGGTTAATTGACTGTGTGTTTCCTGTTTCGATTCTGAAGAAGCTGCTGTACCCCCAATCATGGGGGCACATAAACTTTAGTTTAACCTCTCAGTAAATTAATCTTAGAGCAACAATTACTTAATTTATGGTAATTTTTTAATTTATTAAATACTCGGTTGTGTCAAACTTATGCAAAAACAAAAGCTATGACCCACGAATATTGATGTACTGAAATATTAGATAAGAGAATTTAGTATTGTTTGAATGTACAGCGTACAGATGATTCTATTCATCTTTCGAATATTGACTCAGTCATCCATGTATTTAAAAAAATCTCATTGTTTACAATTAATGTAAACTAATGTAATAATTTATAAAAACGTAATGACACATTGTTTTATTCTCACTCGATCCCAAGGCTGACTTGGTATTTGGCGCAGTCAATCCCTGCCACTTCATTTCAATAAAAATATGTCATATGTATGGATTATGAATGCATTATGAATTACACACACATACATTTATTTATATATGTAGCACTCAGCCTCCCGACGCACAGTGGTCAAAAACACCAAAAAGCTGGCCAAAAGTAGCAAAAAAAATTTTTTCTACAATTTTTATTCCGATGAGAATATCTTAGGTACTATTCATATGACCCACTTTCACTATGGTCATGGTGAAACCATGCATGGTATAGAAACAGAGGACATCACACGGCTGTTATCTCTCTGACTCACTTTTATAGTAAGCGTCGCACATCGTATTACTTCGCATCAACTCAACTGATTTACACATTTAAACATGGAATTTATTCGTTCTTTCATTATATTCTTATATTGGCTTTTGCAGTTTTTTTTCGTTTTTTACATGCGTCTTAAACTGAAGATAATTTTCTAGATTTTCGAGAATAACACTAACTTTAAAACAGTCATAAAGAATGTTCCATCGAGTTCCATTAAGATTTTTATTTTTTGTATTAGAAATATCTGTCCCTATAAGTAGTGTAGAATTCAGCTGCTCAAAGTTGCACACTTAGCTTCGGTAGGTTTCATCTTGGTGTTACGTGCATTTTTTCAGTTAAGAGTAATGATTTTTTAGTAAGTAACGTATTTTTACCGATAATAGTAGTCTCTAATTTATTCTTTTTTATTTTCAGTATAATCAATATCATATTCGTAATCGGCAACCTCGAAAATTCTCGTACACTCTGAAGAACATATAAGTTGTAATTTCTCAGAAATGGTCCGCCATTTTGAATCCGCTATTTTGTTTTCAGCAAGTTGAATATCTAAATTGTGATCAGCAACCTCGAAAACCTCCGTATAAATTTTTGAGAGCGTATATTGTAATTTCTCAGAAGTCGTCCAACATTTTGTTTTTGGTAAATTAAATATCGGATTCGTAATCAGCAGTCTCGAAAACAGTAGAATGCATGATTTTGGACAAATCCGACAATATTTTTGATTTTTGTCCATCTTTTCAGGATTTTTGACCACTGTGCGCCGGTAGTGCACACAGATTCATGAAAAACAAATCGAAGTTGAGTCACGTGTAGCCTTGAATCATTCTCCTATAGTTCTGACATACTGCACTAAAATTCTATTAAATGACAATCAGTACTTCAAACCAAACATGTATTTTTTGTACTTTGTGTAATGGTACTTATATCGCAGAATTATGAAAGATATACTAAATTGTGTTAATGCTTTTAAAAATGATCAAGGTATAAACTAAGCAATATATGAGCTCACAAAAAGATTACAAGCAGCTCAAATTTCTACCTTAGATTTCAAACTACCCTATACAAATCAAGAAACAGTTGACGACTATAAAAAAGATATAGAAATTTTGGCAAGAGACGAAAGGAATTGCAACAATGTATGTAACAATACTCTCAAATATGTCATACATAAAAATTTCAGAGTCAAATTATTTCCTATGAACCGCATTCAAAAAAGTTAATAAAACTATCAAAGCTGAATCCCCAAGGAAGTCGGACCAAACCTGGATAAAAGTTCATAATGGAAAGGTTTTTACCTTTACGGAACATCTCCAGGGCACCTTTCCTCAACCAGAACCACAAATTTTTAATAATAATAATAATGCCAAAGATTTGTTAATGTTACGTATGGACATTGGCTTTGACTAGCATATTAAAACAATAACTTTATCAGAGAAAGTCGCCAGGCGTCAATAGGATTCCAATTAAAATATTGTAAGAAACACTTACTAAATTATTTATATTCATGTCTTTAAGAAAATCTTGTCGCTCCAGTCGTACTTAACGATGCGAAAAACCGCTAGAATTATTTCTATTCCAAAACCAGCTAAAAACAACATCAAGTATCATCATATCATCCAGGTAGACTCGTAGACATGACTACATGTAGATAGGCGGCGAGGCAGATTCGTCAAATAGGTAAACAGGTAGCACATATACAAGTGGACATGTAAATAAGTAGAAAAGTAGATAGGTAGGTAAACGGGTGGAATATGTGGCACATAGGCTGGCAAACCAGTAGACAACCAGTTAGGCCTTAAGATAGGTCAAAGATTAGACTGATTTAGTTAACAGGGAGACAGGTGGATCATACACAAATAATAATATATCGCGATGACTTATAAGAAATAAATTGTATTTTTTGATTGTCTAAATCAATAATTCAAAAAAATATTTCAAGATATTATAATAAACTGTGTCTATATATTTGTTTGTCTCCAAGGAGCAGCCAGTAATGAAGTGAAAGATATTATACTCAAGAAAAAATTGAGACATGAATCTTGAATAAACAAAGTGGCTACTGACAAATTTTGATATGCTATTATTAGTATAATTGCATTAAATAGATTTGTCATTTTTTATTTTTGTATAGCCGCAAATCATTATTATATAAATTTGTTATTCAGCACTTTTGTTAGCTATTCAACATTTACAATACATCTGTGTCAATATGTTTTCTAATCTACATAATGTTTTTAGGCGGATATTACGTGCCGAAATACAAAAGAATCTGTTGGTATAATTTTTCCTCGAAGCAACCTCGTGACATTGAAATATGTCACGGACGGTTGGGGCACAGACAGCAATGGATTCAAATTAGTAATAACAGCTCTCAAAGAACCAAGTAAGTGTGTTTATCTTACTGTTATATGCTGATCAGTACAAAAGTTTGTGATAAATATTCTGGTTAGTATATTACATGAATTTAAAATATTAATTTTACTTTTAAATTAAAACTTGAAATCATCACTTTATTCGATAAAGTTTTTAAAAGAAAAATGTTTTCTTCATTTTGACATATTTTGGAAATTCTGAACTGTTTTTCAAAGCAATCGTACTGCTTTATCTGCATAGAGACGAAATGTCAAAGCGCGCAAGTGCCGTGCCGCCGTCTAACGGATAAGCATTGGTACGGAACCCATAGAAATGTAAAAAAAAATTATATTTATTGTTAAAATCTCTATAAAATATCAGATAATTTGATGTGCATATGTCTAATGATCATTTTTGACCGCCAAATTGCATTTTTTTTTTACTTTTATCATAAGATCTCCGAAAAAGCTAGACCTGCCCTCATGAAAATTTGATCAATTCTTCATCTTGTCAATTTAAGTGAAACGTTTTTTGAATTATTCGAATCGGACGCTCCGTTCTCTTAAAAACTGAGTTACCGTTTTCGGCACTTTTTGCCCCGCATCTTCGGAGCGGCTAACGAAAAAAGTAAAAAAAAATGTCATTTGGCGGTCAAAAAGGATCATTAGATATATGCACATCAAATTATCAGATATTTTATAGAGATTTTAACAATAAATATAAATTTTGTTTACATTCGTATGGGTTCCGTACCAATGTTTATCCGTTAGACAGCGACGTGGCGCTTACGTCTTCATGCAGTTAAAGCAGTAGGATTGCTATGAAAAAAAGTTCAGATCTTCCAAAATATGTCAAAATAAAGAAAACATTTTTTTTTTAATTTTTTTTCAAAAAAAAAGTAATTTTTTGTCCAATTTATAGTTTCTCAAAAATCTAATTTTTTCGAAGTAAATTTTTTTCAAAAATGTTAATTGTTTTTAAAAAAATAATAATTTTTGGTACGGGAAGTTCCAGCAATTTGCCTTAAGGCACGATGCCTTAATTGCCTTAAGACAAAATTCCACTTACAGCTAGTTTATATTTTCGAAGGACCGATATATTTAGATAGTCGGCTATATCAGACCGATTAAAAGATGATAAATAAATGTTTAATTGTTGTATATTTATATGAAATCCTACGATATTATATATATATATATATATATATATATATATATATATATATATATATGATATGTTACTTGGATGAGGTTTTGAATTATTACTGAAGTTTGTTACATATATTTTATATATTACTCCTTTGAGTGTTGATTTAAGACTGATCACAAAAGATTTGAATTTTATATTATTTTTCTGGTTGGCCCATTTTGGATCCAATCAGTGGCTATTACATTCATCAACCAATCAGGTATTGGTCGGTGATTGCATGGTACATAGAATTAAAACTGGGTACAGGCGATCCGAGTTTCTTAGAAATATAGATTAATTGCAGGATGATATATTTAGGGACAGAACGCATGACAATAATATGGATTATTTTAATTTGAAATAGTAAATAAAGGATTAGGGTTCATTGCTGCTATCCTGTATGAAAGTAATAAAATATATAATTAGACCAGGCTTGGGAGTGTGGCGTTAACAGTATGTTTTACACTTTCAGAGATATAATAATGAGAAATTGGTTGTTTTTTTCTTAAATAATTTTTTTTTCATGAAATCATGAGTTTTTTTGGAAATTTCATACTAAAGTTGTGGTATTTTCTAGAATCTATCAAGATCTCTTAAACCAAGTTAATTCTAGAAGGAATATAACTATTTTTAATTTTGGTGGAACTGGCACTCATAAACTATTTGATTTAAATGAAAAAAAACATTGTATAAGTTTGTTTTTATTTGCATGATAGCTCACTCATTTACACGCAGAAGTACTCATTTTAAAGCTTATTTTGAGTATTATAAAACCCCATTTTCATATCTAGCCTAATATTGTTCCTAGAACACCGATTTATTAAGATTTTAATTGATATAATTTTGTTTATTACATGATTTTTGCTAAAATGTATATTTTTAGAAACATTTGCAAAAACTATGAAAAACGCAAAAAAAACAAATTTTCAGTAGCCAGTAACTTGAAAAGTAATTGATTTTTTCAAAAACATTATTAAACATTTTTCTCTTCCAATTAGTTTTTTATTGATATCCGACGTTATTTTGAAAGAGATACGATGAAAGAGATAGTCACCATCCCGGGAAGTGGCAAAGGAGTCTAAATTATTTTCACTTTTATACTTGAGAGTAAGATGAACCTAATTCCAAAATTTCATGCAAAAATTATCAGACCCAAAACGCTCCATTAACTTGAGTAAATATTTCGTATACAATGCCAAACATATGAGTTTTTGACACAATGAAAGTTCTAAATAATTTTTTGAATAAATAAATTATTTTTGTATTGTGATTTAGTAAAGTAAAGCAAAACACGACTGAATTTAAAAGTTAAAAAATACTAATCTCAAATTTAATTATATGTGCAATATTATATTGTCTAGGGCGCAATCACACAGTCCACAACCGTCAGACGCATGCGCAGAGACTGCATCACCTGTAAGACGCATGTTGACTGTAAATCTTATATTATTTTAATTTTTGGTACATCAGAGCTGCTTTTCGGCAATAATAATATAGACAATACATTTTTCTTATTTATAATCATAAACATATTATATTTTAATATTGCCTGAGCTTATAAGTGAATAAAAATGTTTGACAAATGACTGTCTTCATTTGTTTTTGATGTCAAACAATTTCCCAAATATTTTCAAGATCAAACAATGATAGGCGGTTTTTTGTAAATTTTTCAATTTATTTGTACAATCTAATTATATTTCTATGAATCAAAAAATTCCAGAAAATTTCTTTAACAAATTTCAGGAAGTTTTATGGAAATCCAAATAATAGTTCAGGAGGATTAGCCATTCATACCCCATTACAGAAGGATTTGCTATATAAGATATTACCTAAACTTCCTGTTCAACCCATCATATATTTTAGATATGTTGATGACATTCTTTTATGTTTAGATAATAACTACATCAACATTACTTTGAATTGTTTTAACTCTTCAGGTAAACATTAACTGTTCACTTGTGAACAAGAGGTTAACAATTCTATTAGCTTTTTAGATATTAAAATTATTAGATTTAACAATAACAAAATTTATACAAACTGGTATCAAAAGCCAACTTGGTCTGGTCGTTACATTAATTATTTTTCCTTTCATTCCCGTTCGATCAAAATTTCGATTATTATCCCATTAATTGATCAAGATATTCTTTTAAGTAATTTTATCCTTTGGAATAAAAATTAAGATTTAATCCGCGAAATTTTAGTATACAACTCATATCCGTTTCATTTAGTTAATATTATTATAAACAACTGTATTGAATATTTAAATAATAATGAAATAAACATTAATAATGATAACCTTTCTGTACTTGTTGATACTAGTTTAATTAATTCTTCATCGTAAATAAGAGAAGTTCTTCCTCTTTGCTTTTTGACAGCTATCAAAATTTAATTAACGCATTTAAATCTGATTTTTTAAATATTTGAACAATTTTTACCACTTGATACTTTCTTTTTTAGATTTTGGAAATATTTTGATTACTTGATTATACTTTTAAAATTCTATATATATCCTAATATATATAAAGTTAGTGTCACGTTGTTTCTTTGCGATGGACGCCTAAAATACTTTTTTTGTGTTACAATTTATTTTTGTTAATCAAGACTTTAATGTCTTATTTACAAAATTGATATGTGCAAAAAAAGAAATGATACAAGAAAATACAATAAATTGAATATAAAATGAAAAAAGTTAAAATGAAATAAAATAAAAACAGCAATACAAAAAGCAATACAAAAATAATAACATAAATAAACTCTGACGTGGTGATGTATGCCGCGTACAAAGTCAGGGCGCGAGCAGACATAGGGCTAGGTGTATGGTAGATAGGAAGGCCATTTCTCGTTTAGTCTTCTTAGCGGACTGTGAATCGCTTGAATAGTAGGATTTGTATGCTGGATTAATTTATTGTTGAAAGATGAACTTTTAAGTTTGATCATTTCGTTTGCTGTATAGATTTTCAAATCCTTATGTAGGCAAAAGTTCGAAATATACCAAGGCGTATTAGTTAAGATACGCAGGATTTTATTCTGGCACCTTTGAATGATGTTTATGTTTGATTTGCAAGAGCAACCCCATAGTTCGATTGCATAAGACCAAATGGGCACTATGATAGTTTTGTACAGAAGTACCTTGTTCTCAAGAGAGATTTCAGATTTCCTCCCAAAAAGCCAGTAAAAATCTTTTATTTTCAGTTGGATTTGTTTCCTTTTATTTTCAATGTGCGTTTTCTATATCAATTTCGAATCGATGTGCATGCCTAAATATTTGACAGAATTGCATGGTGCAATTATTGAATTGTTTATGATGATAGGTGAACTCTTGTGGAGTTTTAGTGAAACAATTATGTGCTGAGATTTTTTGATATTAATTTTGATATCCCATTCTAAAAACCATTTTTCGACACTAGATAAATAATTTTGTAACCAACAAGGTGCTGATGTAATATCAGAATTGCATGAAATTATTATTAGATTATCATTTCTTGGAATAATATTCGGGGTGATCTGCTTGTTTGTTTCATGTACAATCTCAGAAAAATCTTCTGTTTTATTTTTTAAATCAATAACGCTTGTAGGCCTAGATTTTGGAAATAATTTTGAATCAAGTATAGATTTAAATTGTGTCCAGTTAGAAAGTTTGTTGTGAAGAATGTGATTGTTGTTAGCTAGAGTAGAAAATGTGCTAAACGTCATAATTATTGGCGAATGATCAGAAGAGAGATCGTAACTAGATTCAATATTAAGATTTGAATAATCAATACCTCTCACAATAAAAAAATCTAAAAAGTCTGGAACTTTAATAGGGTCAGAAGGCCAATATGTTGGACTACATGTTGAAATAAAGAAGAGGTTATTTTGCTGTATGGCAGCATGAAGTACGAGTATCTTACCTTTGGCTGTAGTCAGTCTAGAAACCCAGGCAATATGTTTCCAATTAAATTCACGACCAATGATACATTTATTACGTAATTGAGAGAAAAATGAAGAAAACTGAGCACAAGAAAGTTTGAATCTTGGTGGGCAATAAACAGCAAAAACACAAAAATTATATAAGTTTGTTTCAACAGAAATTTGAGTTGCTTGTAGAAAATCATCACAAATATTTGGTAGAGCAAAATGCTTCATATTATTTTAGATTAATATCGCCGAACCGCCGCGAGCCATGCCACTTGCATGATTTGAATTATAAGTGGTGTAATTATAAATTTTAAAGTAGGTTTTTATGTAAAGTGTGATTCTGAGATTAATAAAATATCTATCAAGTTAAATTAAAAAAAAAACATTCTATTTTATTTTTGTGAGGTAATAAACCGTTGGCATTCCATTCAGTAATTTTAATGATTTTTGCCGTAAGTTGTTGACTTACGTGGATAGAATATTTATTATAATGGTGTTCTGTTACATGAGCTGATTGAAAATAGATTTAAATTCCAAAATAAATGTTGCTAGAGAATTATTAGAATCAGAAAAATTATTTTTTGTTATGTCTGCATAGGATGAGCCATGAATAGTTGGTTTTAGGGCCGAAGAAATGTTTAAATTGTTATGATTTTTAAAATTATGGCTTAATGAATTGGGATTTCTGACTGATTGATTTAATAGAGTTTTGTTTCTTTGTACTTTAATTTTTTGGAAGTAAGAGCAATCGCGATAGTTAGCTGGATGATCACCGTCGCAAAAATAACAACATGACGGATCATTCGGGTCTTTGGTACAAGCTATTATATGATGATTATCATCGCTTTGTAGGCAAGCAAATGGTCTAATTCAGTACGTTTTGGACTTTCTCGGTGGTTCGACGCGTATTATCTAGTTTAATAATTTGTAAATATTATAAATATTTTTGTTATTTCTGCTTGGTCCTAGGTCAACAAAAAACATATTGAGGGGTTGTTTTGTTATTCTATGTCTTATATTAAGTATGTTACGTACTACATGTCCTTCTTTTGATAGTTCTAATTTAATTGATATCTTCAATTCCATAAATAAATATTGGATGCGTTGCCATCATTTGCTGTTGAAAGGGCCGAAAATCCGTTTTGAATTTTGACATTTATTCCTAATGGTTTAAATGATGTTTTTCTTTTTTTGTGATTGACTAATTGCCATGAATTAGGAAGTTTTTTGATATTAGATTGTGTTTGAGACAGACATGTAGTTGCATCATTACTAGATAATAATACTTTCTGGAATGAGTCAGGATCGGATGTAGATGGACGTAACGAGATCTTTTTCGTTGTAGAAATGTTGTGCCGACTTTCCTCGCGAGGTATCTTGCTATATTTGCTCGACCTAAAATCGGTTTTTCATGGTAAGCAAAACAAATTTAAAATCGATTCAGTATTTTAGGCCTAAACCTTTTTAAACTGACCTTTTTGCCTAAAATACTGAATCGATTTTAAATTTGTTTTGCTTACCATGTGCATATGGATCCCATTTAGGCGGCGGGGTATATTAAAAATCTCAATTTAAAGCCGAAATTGTATTTTATTGAAAGAAAAAATATTTTGACGTTTAATAAATGGAGAATAAAAATAATGAAAACCAGTCGAGCCATATAACCTTTACGTTGAAAAAGGTTAAATGCCCTTCTTCCAGCATGTATAATATGATTATACTCGAATTCTCCAGCGTCAAATATCTTGGTATTTATTTGGACCGAAAACTTAACTGGATACTACATATAAATAAACTAGTTGGTATTGGTATTTTGCCCTGAGGAAAGTTACATGAACTTTCCGAAATGTGTAAATAATTGATTTAATCAATAAAAATAAATTAATTTGAGTTATTAAAAGCATTCCGAGTGGATTCATTACACATAATTGAAAACGAACGAACACGTTAACTCGGAGTATTTTCTAAAAGCAAATTTTCAAAAATCCGTAGAACTTTAATGGTTTAGTATGTTCATTAAGACCAAGTACTCTATCGTTTTACCAAGTAAATCGTCTAATTTTCGTCGTTTTAGCCCGCAATTCTGAATCGATTTTGAAAATTCAAAAACTGTTCGAAATATATTGGTTGGAAATCGACCTGATTAGTTTTTGGTAAAGATCGGCCGGGCCGTTTTCTTGTAATAGTGTTAAAAAAATTTTTTTCAATGACTTTCATGATTTTTTTTACGGTAAATATCATAGTCTTATAGATTAGACTAAAATATTACGGTCCTACGACAAGTCGTTTAATTTTAAAAAGTCGTCAAAGTTTACAAAAATTATTGCCGTTTTTTTTTTGGCGTTTGTCAAAATTATAACTTTCATCGACATTTGCTCAAAAACGACTGACCCGATTTCAAAAATTTAAAAGCCAATCGATGTATTTTGATGTGGATTATCTTTTTTCAGTTTGTGCAGAGATCGTCCGAGCCATTTCTTTGTAATTTGGGAAAAAGTGTTAAACTTTCCGTCTGCATTTAAGCTCATACCACCGAATCGATTTTAAAAAATCAAAAACTGTTCGAAAGATATTATTTGGAAATGATACTGATTAGTTTCAGGTGAAAATCTACCGAGCCGTTTTCTTGTAATTAACTGTTGAAAAAAAAATTAAGCCGATTTTTATGGAAATTTTTTTTGGCGATATATATCATGGTATTATAACTCTTACTGAAATATTACTGACTTTACGACAAGTAGTTTAATTTTAAAAAATCATCAAAATTTGAGAAAATGAGTAGTTTTTTGACGTTAGTTAAAATTAAAATTAGACGATTTAATTGGTATAACGATAGAGTACCTGGTCTTAATAAACATATTAAAGCATTATAGTCCTAGGGAAACTGGTTCAATTATAAAAAAATATTAAATTTCGAAAATTGGCTTTCAGAAATTACTCCCACCGGGTTGACGTGTTCGATTTTTTAAAATGTCTAATAAACCTACTTTGAATACTTTAACCACTCATAAATGAATTTATTTATCATGGAATAAGACGATTATTTACACATATCGGGAAGTTCATGTAACTTGCCTTAAGGTAAAATACCGATACCAACTAGTTTCAAAATTTCTTACAATGTCTTCAATGTACAATATCAATGTTGAAATTGTTTAAATAATTTTCATTATTCAGATTTTTCGTTAAAGTTCTTTGTTTTATTATTTCTAATTTTCTTATATTTTTATGGCTTTTGATTTTTAATATGAAAACTTCATAATATTTTTGTTTGTTCTTTTCTAACCCTCTTTTGTTTCAAGCGATCATTTCCTAGAATTAATTTTTCATCCCTGGGTCAACAATTTGTGATTCTCTTTTTATGTCATAGTTTCGTCTTCGTTTTTCATTTACAATTTGGAAACTATGTGACTATCTACAGGCTTCTATTATTTAACTTATAGGTTATTATTTTACGTTATACAATGTTTTTGTTTTTCTCATTAAAGAATGTGTTTAATTTCGTGTATTTTTTCCAATTTTGGAATGATTTGATATTAATTTTGTTACATTTTTGGTAATGTAATTTTTTAAACTTATATACTATGCATTATTTAGACTTATTTAACTTGCTTTAATAATCATTCCAAGTAAATGTGAATCATCAAATCTTACAATATTACCTTTTCAGAACACGCATGTAAAGACTTTCGTTGTAACACACGTGAATTCTGCATTCATAAGGATTTAGTTTGTGACGGTGTTGACCATTGTGGTGATGGATCTGATGAAGCCAGTAATACAATATGTCAGAGTGAGTAGTACTATTATATATATATATATATATATATATATATATATATACATATATATATATATATATATATATATATATATATATGTTAACTCTAATCGTCTCTATTAAAACACAATGTTGTCTTGATTACTTTATTTACTCAACTTACACAAAGTTCTCTATTATACGTATTAAGTTCTCTACTCTATGTATTATGTTCTCTTGTTTTACTACACTACACCCGTCGGCCTACTAGATTGACGCTGTCATTAGTACCAACATACATCCCAACAGCGTCATCTATTCATAGCCAACATTCGGCTATCCAGCTCTATCAGTCGTCCTCGACTGTAACATTTTCATTTCTTTAGTCCCAAGTTACCATCACTCCCAATTATTTACCACTCTGTATTTGGAGTCTTTTCTATTTCCTCTCGCATGAAATCCATGTTATTTTCTCTTCTCTAAAACTGGACGCCTTGTTAATGGACTCTTTACAACTCATGCATTGACGTGCATTGACGTGCCCACATGGTGACGTCTTTACCAATCCCAGGCCATACATACCTTCTTCGCAACTCCATTCAAGTAATCCTTATGCTTGGGTGTGCATTTCCATGTACAATGTCAAAAGCGATTCTGTGAAGACTTTGCGGAAGGTAGGGCTTTACAAAATTATCTTGCCTGTTGCAATAAACTGGATAGCCCCCTAATGTCAATTTTTGAAGATTAAGAGAGGTGTTGCCGTTCAATATAGTTTGCATTTCAACGTCCTTGTTCTGTTCTTGCAAAATTTCCTCTGCGGTTAACTTTGATGGCATTTGAATGGCATTGATCCTGGACAACGCATCAGCAACAACCTTCTGATCACCCTTCACATATATAATATCAGTGGAAAACTGTGATATGTATTCTAGCTGCCGTCGCTGACGATCTGAAGCCTTCTCTAATTTCTGTTTAAATGCATGTGTTATTGGCTTGTGGTCTGTCTTGATTACAAAGTGCCTTCTTTCTAGCAGATATTCAAAATACTTTAAAGCCGCAAAGATGGCTAGTAGCTCGCGATCGTAAGTTGAATATCGCTGTTCAGTAGATGTGAGCTTTCTGGAAAAGAAACCTATAGGGTGCCATGCGCCCTTTTCTTCCTGCTCCAGAGTTGCTCCAATGGCTGTTGTAGATGCATCTGTAATTAAATTAATATTTGCTATACTTGGAAGAAGGAAAATGAAGAAGAGTTGTATTTGCTAGAGCTTCCTTCAGCTTGCTGAATGCTGATAATGAATTGTCATTCCATTCAATTTGAGTCTTGTCGTTTTTAATTGAGGACTTCACATACTCATAAAGTGGTGCTTGTATATTTGCTGCCTTGGGTATTGATTTACGATAATAGTTTACCATGCCCAAAAATCTTCTGAGTTCTATAACTGTCGAAGGTTTTGGATAATTAATAATTTTCTCTACTCGGTCTAGTGAAGGAGAATATCCTGCAGCACTCAGTTTGTAACCGAGGAAGTTTACTTCATCTTTTCCAAAGGCGCATTTCTCTAAGTTGATTGTAAGAGAATATTCCTGTAGCCTCTCAAAAACCAATTGAAGATGACGACGGTGCTCATTCATATCAGTCGACATTACCAGGATGTCGTCTATATAAATGAAAACAAAATTGAAATCTTGGAATATGTGATTGATAAACCTCTGGAATGTATGGGCAGCGTTTTTGAGTCCAAATGGCATACGTAGATACTCGAAGAGTCCCCATGGTGTGATAATTGCAGTCTTTTTAATATCCTCTTCATGCATGTGTACTTGGTGGTAAGTCTATTGTCGAAAACTCTGCTTTCTGATGAAGATTATTAAAAACATCTTGTATTAAGGGTGGAGGATACCTGTCAGGCTGCGTGTTTGCGTTCAGCCTCCTGTAGTCTCCACACATTCTGAATGTGCCATTCTTTTTAGGAACCATGTGAATAGGGCTTGCCCATGGACTGTTGGAAGGCCTCAAAATGCCCCTGTTCAGGAGATCTTGTATCTCGGACCTGGCTGCAACAGCCTTTTCTCCGAAGATCTTCCTGAATCTGGAAGCTAATGGTGGACCTGTTGTGGTTATCCTGTTGGCAAAAAAATATGATTTATTATTGGTGGTTACCTGTGGCTTTGTTATTGCAATGTATTGTGCCAGTAAATCGTTGAAAGGCTCTGCCGGGTTGACAGTGGAGATGTTGACTTGCTGTGCCTTGAGTACCTTTCCATCAGAGGTAAGGCCTGTGATCGAATCAATCAATCTTCTGCCCTTCAAGTCTATTAATAGATTGTAGTTGCTTAGTAAATCAGCTCCTATTATGGCTGTAGCTACATCGGCAACAACAAACTGCCAGCTAAAGCTTCTGCGTAGTGATAAATCCAGCTCCAGAGTTCTCTTGCCATACGTGGATATTCTGCTAGAGTTTGCTGCAAATAGAACTAGCTCTTCCTTGGCATGACCATTGGCGAACTTATGGGCTGGTAAAAAGGATAAAACTGATCCAGAATCTATAAGGAATTGGATTGCAGTCTTTCTGTCTGAAATATGTAGGCGGAGCTCAGAGCAGACAGAATTTATTTCACCGTCATGACAAGCTCCAATTAATGACGGCGAAGTAAGTTTTCCGATCGGTTTAGAGATTTAAGCAAGCAGGGCTCTTCACACTTTGTGGCTTTCTCACCGTAACTGTAATGATAGTAGCAAACTGATCCACGAGAAGGTCTCCTGGAACTATGTCGAGAACCACTTCTTGATCTTGACTGATTGTGTTGTCCACTTCTTGATCTTGACCAGTTGTGTTGTGATTCTAGTTGATCATTTTTCTGCCTTTCAGTGTTTAACATTGCCTTTAGTTCCTTGATTTTCTTGACGAATGACATAAGGAGAGTTTCGTGTCGGTCCAGTCTCTGTTCTACTGAAGATTTGTGTGTTGTTGACATCACATGAGATGTGGAGCTACAGTGATCGACCAAAATATCGGCAACTTCCGCCAGGGCTTCCAGACCAAGATGACGAGAAACTATCAATTGAGGCCGAATATGGTGTGGTAGGCGTTCTGACCACAATTTAATTATGACGTCTTCACTGACCTCTCCCTTAGCCAAATCCTTCATCTCTCGTAGGAGCTGTGATGGTTTCTTCTCTCCTAGAGATAAGTTTTTTAATAGCTTGTCAATCTGCTTACCTCTGGATTCAGACATTCTGCTTAATATAGTCTTTTTGATATATTCGTATTTGCCCGTCATTGGTGGATTACGGAGGATATCCTGGATGAGGCGCAGTGTTTCAAAGTCTAAGGCTTTGAGTACTGCTGTGTACTTAGTATCGTCACTCCTGATCTTAGCAGACTGAAACTCATATTCAATTACGAAAAACCATAGGTCTGGAGAATCTCCATTGAATGGAGTGAGACGGTGATTATTAAATGCTGCTATATTGTATTGATCAGCATAACTGTCATGTTCATGTTCAGAAACACGAGGACTGCTCGTGTTAAAGATCGCCTCGTGATCCAGATCGATCAGAGATCTGTTGAGCGCTGTTTCGTCATTGATGGACGTAGATCGAGTCGACATGTTGATAAACATTGGTATAATTTACCTTTATTAATTTATTTGTATTTGACAAGTGTTTTTCTTTCTCCGTCCGACGTCATCAATTATGGGAACTAAGACGTTGAGAATGTCTGTTGTTTACCGATTTTACTTACACGTTCGGAGTCACCAATTATGGCGCTAGTGGCCATATATTATTTATTGATTAAAGCTTTAAATGAAATCGCAATAATTTGATGTCGACTCGACAATGAGTGGTAATTTATGTCTCAATTGATAAAGGTGTTGATATTACATTAAATCTAATATCAAGTTTGATCACGAGAAAATGCTCGATGAAAAACGCGATACCATATTTTCGATCGTTTCAAAAAGCGCGATAATATTTTTCGATCGTATTAAAACAATCAGCTCGCTAAGCTTGCTTGATATCAAATGCCATTTGCGTCAATCAACTGACATGTGTCATATGTGAGCGTGTTGATTCTGCTATATATATATATATATATATATATATATATATATATATATATATACATACATATATACACATATACAACTACATGTATACACATATACATATGTACATACATACAAACATACATGTAAATAAATAATATACATATATATACATATATACATACAAATACGTATATATATATATATATATATAAACATACATATATGTAAACTCGTATATATGTAAAGCAAACAAAATATTTATGAAGATGGATAATGCATATAAAATACAAGTGGACTTACATTACGTTGGTAGGTTACATCTAGAGAAGTGTACGCAACACTAGAAATTGGCACTAACATTTATACAACTAACTTGTCAACACCATGCATTTTTTATAATTTATTGTATGATGTAAACAAAAAAATGTAAGTCAAATTATGTAATTTTTGCCACGACTTCTGTACTTTGCACGTTCCGAGGCTTATCTGAGCGACACACGTGTTTTGAAAGATTTTTAAGGCATCTAAAATTAATTGTAGGGGGACGTTTGTGGATAGTGATCTGCGGATAGCCATCACTGCTAGATGGGACGAAATCTCATGTCATACAACGCTATCACTGCATTGGTTTCTTGAGTCCATAAAATTCATAGTTTCGAATACTTATTTCGAATTCAACGACCACTTTTACCTTCAAATATTTGGCGCACCTATGGGTTCTCCTATATCCCCGTCACTCGCAGAAATTTCTTTAAAACACTTAGAGTTGAAAGTTTTTAATTCCTACAATCTAGACCCTCATTTTTATTACAGATACGTTGATGACATTCTTACCTGTGTTTCTGTTAAAAATTTCAAACTTTTACTTCATAGTTTTAACTCATTTAATGAGCATCTCTCCTTTACGTTCGAAAAAAAACAAGAAAATTCTATCAGCTTTTTAGACGTAAAAATTATAAAAACCACAGACAATCGAATTA